CAGTGTGAGTCTATGGATCACTAAGCGATGGGTAATCACACTCTGAGCTTTGCAATGGCCTCGCTTATCCGTCGTTCTGCACGTATCGAAGATGGAGGAAACATTGCAGGGTAAGTGTAGCTCACACTAACTCTACCCCTAACCCTCACTAACCCTACCCCTGACCTGTAATCGTAGGCGCCACGGTGGCTAGGAGATGTTAACTACCTCGCCTGGTATGCAGAAGGTCGTGGGTTCGATCCCGACCCTGATGCCTTCTGTACATTCGGAGTTTGCGTGTTCTCTCTCTCTCTGTCTCTCCCCGTGGTCGCGAGGATTCTTCTCCGGATCCTCCGGTTTTTCCCCTCCACATTTAGAATCAACATCACACATCCAGAGTATTTGGCTGCTGCTATACATTTCCACGTGATGATGATGATGATGATAAGCGACTTGGTTGAGCTATCATTTGTGATGGCCAGGGTCGCTTCTGAAAAAGAGCTACATAGCTCAGTGGGGGAGGCTTTACCTGGTAGAAATAAAAAATTGTTTCGTTTATAATTTGGAAAACCCTGCTCCTGACCCGCACCTTTGATTATCAACGGTTGGCTACGTACGGTAGTGAAAGAAGGTGAATGTACGCGCTTGCATCCATTGAGCAGTCTCGACTCCGTCAAAGGTTAGTGGGTTTGCGTTTCTCAAAAAATGTTTCGCAGCCGCCGTTCCGAACGCCGCCGCTCGAGTCGAGGAACCCCGCGGGAGAGCGGAGACGAGGTGGGGCCCCCGTGGGCGTGATGACGAAGCTCGGGATCGCAACTTCATCGAGGTGGAGCTGTCCGAGGAGGACACGGGCCAAGGTGAGAGAGAGAGAGAGAGGAGAGATAGAAGGAGTGTTTACCTGTCCCCTCCACCTTTCTTTGATCGCATCGCACACAGCAGCAGCAGCGGCGGCAGAAGCAGCAAACGTGACGTGTTCAATAATAATGGAGAAAGAGTCTCGATTATTCTGCGCTAATGAATCAGAATATGTATCTTGCAGGAGGAATCTGATGATCTATAAAGCTCTTTGTTCACAAATGTCCAGGAGGGGCACAGGATAAGAACGTTACAACAACAAACATTCTTCTTCTTCTTCCTAGCGTTGTTCCCGCTGTGGCGCAGGGTCCGCTTTTCGGCATTGTCTTCTCCATTTGGCTCGGTCCAGGGCATCTTCAGGGGATGCGTTGACCGTCTTCATGTCTTCCTTTATTCGGTCCATCCATCGCTTCTTCGGACGTCCGCGTGGACGGCGGCCCTCTGGCTCAATACGCACGGCAGTCTTGGCCACTGATGACTCTTCACTTCGCATCACATGGCCGTACCAGCGAAGTCTTACAACAACAAACACAGTTACAAAAACACGATAGGCGTGCAAAGTATAAGAAAGGTAAACAAATCACCCAAACTGCAAACAAATACAACACTAAACCATCCCCATCCTACCATCGCCATCCTACTTGGCGATCACAAATGATAGCTCAACAAAGTGGCTGATCATTTGGAGATTTATATCCCCAAAATAGTCTAAAGAATCTAAAAATCGCGGATAATCCAAAAATATCCATTGTCCGCAAAAGGTTTCTATTTGGTGTTTGAACGTCTTTACACCAGTTTTATTGCCAGAAAGAGAAATACAACTTTGATCGTGGCAAAAAGGTCCCATTTTGTAGCTGATCTCACCCCGAGCTATAAATGCCCTTATAGTGCATTGTCTTTGCGCTGTTCGCCTTTTGGCGTTGTCTGGTCTGACACTGCTTGTGAGACTAGGCCAGGGGTCGGCAACCAAAATAACAAGAAGAGCCATTTCTTTCCAATTCGGTACAAAATTCAGTATTTCAAGAGCCGCAATGCATCTGAGTACATACGTACATATCGTCAAGAAGCAGCCCGTAAAGAGCCGCATGCGGCTCCGGAGCCGTAGGTTGCCGACCCCTGGACTAGGCCCTAAAGAAGGCTGTCTCTGGTGTAGACCAATCAGTTTAAAAGACAATGCCTGTTTGTATTATCAGAGCGCGTTTGTTCGCATGTTCACGACAAGCGCCGCGTGTGGTTAATGCAGTAACTTGATTCCCTGCAAAAGGTTTCGATTTCGTGTTTGGACATTTTGACGACCTCCTGTTTTATTGCCACGAAGGTTAAAAGACCTCTTCTTATTTTTTCAATTCTAAGTCCGAAAAAATGAGAATAGAAATATTCTTAGGCTTTTTCGGTAAAGTCACGTAGGTAAAACATTAAAAAGTAAAATAAAATAAAAATCACGACGTTTCGGAGGCAACACAAGCTTCCGTCTTCAGGTGGTACCGTCACAGCCATGACAGCTGTATCAAGTAAATGAGAGATTGCAGGAGCTACCACTCCGTTTATATAATGGTTGGAGGTGGTGGGGCAAGGGCCGCATACTTTTTATTAATATGGTAAGGTGAGGCTTAAGAGGGTGAGCCTTTGTTATGGAGAGGTACGGTTTGTGAATCAACCTGTGACAGGGAGACAACCACTAAACATGGTAAAACTGTAATAGTTGTCTGTCAAATAAGATCGTCGTGATTTTTATTTTATTTTACTTTTTAATGTTTTACCTACGTGACTTTACCGAAAAAACCTAAGAATATGAATCCTTGCAGTCACGAAAGCTTCAAATCAAAAATGAAAATAGGTTTTACCCTAAATCTTGACTTAAAGCTTTCGTGACGGCAGGAATACATATTCTATGGGTCTTGCGGTAAAGCCACGTAGATATAAATATAATAAATATATCACGACATTTCGATCGCAATACAAGCAATCGTCTTCAGGTGAAAAATACAGCGAGAGAGCTTGATGAAGAAGGATGTTATATAGGCCTGATGGGTGCAGCCCAAGGGTAAGTGGGTGGGGCTAGAAATGAAATTTGCATGTAAATGTAAGTACGGAGGGCGCCCTCTACAGCTTTGTGTTGTGATATTTTTGTAAATTTTCTATCTACGTTGCTTTACCGAAAGACCTATACAATAGGTTTTACCCTTTCTTGCCTATTCTTATTTAGTCTTTATTTTTTATTCTTGTTTTTTCCATACTTTGATACTGGCAAAAAAGGTCCCAAATTCTGAGTCCGTTATACTCTTTAAATAGTCGTCTTCAAGCTACGGGGGTTTCTCTGTAGCTTTAAGATAAAAAAATCAACGTTGTCTGATTTGGATTACTTTGTCATAATAATTATAATTATTCACGTTTATCACAGTTCTTCACTTTATTGGAATTTTAATATTGTTATTAATCGGCTTGTTTTTTTATATTTTGCTCAGATTTTTATCTCAACTTGTGAGCGTAGTTTTATTTATTTCACGTAAGGCGCTTTGAGACGCTTCAACATGAAAGGCCGCTTTAAAAAAATTTGGAGGTTGCTTTTTTATTATCACTACTACTACTACAATTCCAGTTGTGCTACCCTATGACTGGTGAAGAAATTCCCACACAGAAATCGTACGTGTGTACGTACAGGCGACCCATGTACCGACATGGTCCCAAGTCGAGCCGTCGTAAATCGAACCCCTTATTTCCCACAGATGCGACGTTAAACATTTGCGGTTACGTTCCTGAAAACCCATCACGTGCCGTAAAAATACCAAAATTGACCACGAAACTAAAATGAAAATAGCCCTGACCAACATTTAGCGTAACTTTTACATAACCTTTGCAAACATTTATTAAGTGAAAACAAACACTCGCATTTGAAAATCCTTCAGTACTTTTCTGAACGTGCATCACATTTCCTCTTCTCGGACGCGGCAAAAGGCGCAAAAAATGCAAAATGTGAAGAAAATTTACGAAAAAGTGAAGATCGTTGAGAAAGAGACGCTGCGCTCGCTCTAAGCCCAACTGCAGACTGTTGGGCTAAGCAGCGCCATCAGGCTCGGCGTCGGTAGCAGTCGTTAGGCGGTTGTAGATATGAGTTTTGGTTGCTACTATCGTAAGTTGAGCCATCATTCGTCGGGGGTCACCTGTATGTACGTTGAACTTTTTTCGCACCGTACCTAGCCAACCGTACGTATGTTGAACTTTTTTCACACTGTACGTAGCCAACCGTACATATGTATGTAGAAGTTTTTTTCAGCGTACATAGCCAACCGTACGTATATATGTTTAAATTATTTTGCATTGTATGTAACCAACCGTACATATGTACGTGTAACTTTTGCACCATCGTACGTAGCCAAGCGTGCTAATCAGAGGTGTGGGAAAAGTGACAACGAACTCAACACAAAAAGCAGTTGTAAAGAAATGAGTTTGTCAGTCTAGATGATCTTGATTTGAAGCTTTCATGACTGCAGGAATCCATACTCTTTGGTTCTTTCGGTAAAGTCACGTAGATATCAAATAAAATAAATCACGACGTTTCGATCGCAACACAAGCGACTGTCATCAGAACCAGTTCTCCTGCTGTATCTGTTCCAAGTCTAGATGATGATTTAAAAGCGCATAGCTCCCGGCAGCTTCCTAATATCGGAAGGAAGAGCATTCCAGACGGTGGTGTGCTGAAGTAGTGCACTAGTCGGCAGGTTTTTGTTTACGTGACAAACCTCACTAATTGGCCAAGTCGGGTGGTGGTTGTGGCGGGTTTAACGGCACATTCATATTTACGCGATCTAACCCAAACAACAACGACAAAAATACCTTCATTCTGTTGCACCGCGATAAAATGACGGCGTCGTTTCTGGCACCGATCGTTGAAATGTTTCCCACGTGAATCTAGCGGCGCGGTTTCTTATTAAAATAAATGTTTTTTTATTTTTTTTACAGCGGCCGAGCCAAAACAAATGCAGCTCCTGTGCGGGGAGTGCACGGCAGCAACAGCAAAGGAGGACGTCCGTTTCTCGGCGTCCGACCGAGCGGAGAGGACCGGCCGGACCGGCGATCGGGCGTCGGCGGGAGCCTGCGAGCGGTGCGGCAAGACGACGGTCGGTGCCCCGGCGCCGCCCGCGGCCCCCGCCGGCGCGGGGGGCAAGAAGCCGCACTCGTGCGCCGAGTGCGGCAAGCGCTTCCGCACGCGCTACAACCTGAACACGCACTCGCTGATGCACACGGGCGAGTACACGCACGTGTGCCCCGAGTGCGGCAAGGGCTTCGCCACGCGCTTCACGCTCAAGAAGCACTCGCGCATCCACACGGGCGACTGGCCGCACGCGTGCGACGAGTGCGGCAAGGGTTTCGCAACGCGCTTCGACCTCGCCAAGCACTCGCGCACGCACACTGGCGAGCGGCCGCACGCGTGCCCCGACTGCGGCAAGCGCTTCGCCCACCGCTACAACCTGGAGGCGCACTCGGCGTCGCACACGGGCGAGTGGCCGCACGTCTGCGCCGAGTGCGGAAAGGGCTTCACGCAGCGCTCCGACCTGGAGACGCACGCGCGCACGCACACGGGCGAGCGGCCGCACGCGTGCGGGGAGTGCGGCAAGGGCTTCGCCAAGCGCTCGCACCTGGAGGCGCACTCGGCATCGCACACGGGCGCGTGGCCGCACGTCTGCGCCGAGTGCGGCAAGGGCTTCGCCAAGCGCTCCGACTTCGAGAGGCACACGCGGTCGCACACGGGCGAGAAGCCGCACGTGTGCGTCGAGTGCGGCAAGGGGTTCACGCGGATCTCCGCGCTCAAGAAACATTTCGTGGTGCACGCCCTCGAGTGAACTTGGAACCGAACTGAACTACGTGAAAAAAATTTTATTCACCAGGTGTGAGGCCCCAATAGCTTCTTTTTCAGAAGCGGCCTGGCCATCACGAACGGTAGCTCGGCGAAGGGTGACTGATGTCATCGTCGTCGTCACATGGAAATTCACAGCAGCGGCAGCAGCAGCCAAATACTCTTAAACGCGTGATGTCGATTCTAAATATGGGAGAGAAAAACCGGAGGTCCCAGAGAAAAATCCACGCGACCACGGGAAGCGAGAAAGAGAGACACAAACTCCAAATATATAGCAGGTGTCAGGGTCGGGATCAAACCCACGACCTCCTGCATACTGGGCGAGGGAGGTAACATCTGTCCATTCAGCTTGGAGAGCTGAATGGAGTTCAAAAGAATTCACAAACAGACACCGCCTTGTTGTGAAAGACCCAACGCAGAAGATTTCCTGGGGTTTGATCTTCCACGAAGCTGCTCATGGTCCCACCTTAAACCGCATCAGGCACTGCACAAATCATGGCAGCAGTTGCGGATGGTAGCTGATGATGCACAAATGGAAAATCGGAAACTCTCGCCGGTAGTGGCAGTGCCATGACTGCGGTCATCCAGAACAGAGACCGTACACAACGCGTAACGACGCAATGACCCGATACACAAATACGAAGGAGGAGACATGATCACAGCGATGATGACGACGATTCACTACTGCGCTACTGCTCCTGCTGAAGCGGTTGTCTGGGCTTGACCACCACCTGAATGTGACGTTCTACATCAGCAGCCGTACGAAAGCAGAAACTCCTAGATACCTAAAAAGATCCAGACCCATACAAACGCACATAGACTCGGAGACCCATAGAGACTCGCAGAGACTCGTAGGCACCCACGGAGACTCGCAGAGATCCGTGGAGACTCGGACCCAGAGGCTCTTGTAGGCCCAGGCTCATAGAGACCCATACAGATCCATAGACTCATGGAGAACCGTAGAAACGCATAGACCCATAGACTAATAGAGACATCGCAGCGATACACTCCTCCGCTGGCTCTTCACACGATTGTCTGCTGACTTGACCGCCACCTGAATGTTATATTTGCAGCTGTTGCTCTGCATCTAGATCTGTAGCCGTACGGAAGAAGAAGACGACCGTAGCGCCCAGTCACGTGAATCGAGCATCGGGCCTCACCGTGGTTTCTCTGCTCAGTATCAGTAGCAGCAGCAGGAGAGGAAACTGAACTGAACTATTTTTATGTTACCAGGTGTAAGGTCCCACTGAGCTGCTATGTAGCTTTCTTTGAAAAGCGACCTGGCTATGACAAATGATAGCTCAACGAAGCGGCTTATCATCATCATCATCACGTGGAAATGTATAGCAGCAGCCAAATGCTGTAAACGCACGGTAACATTGACTCTAAATGTGGAGGGGAGAAAGCGGAGGGCCTGGAGAAAGATCCACGCGACCACGGAGAGAGAGAGAGAGAGACAGACTTCAAATATACAGCAGCAGGCGTCAGGGTCGAGATCGAACCCACGACCTCCTGCATACCAGGCGAGGGAGTAAATATCTCGCAACGGCCGCCATTAGGCACTAAGCGGCAGGTGACGTCACCCAAGGCGCTTGTGCCAGGCTAGGTGCACCACTTTGCGGCCGTCGATAATGTGCTCGTGTGTGTGTGTGTGCGCGTTGAGTTTATTTCGCACCACCGTACTTAGCCAACCTTGCTAATCAGAGGTGCGGGGGAAGCACTTCAAACTCAACACTAAAAGCAGTTCTGAAGAAGTTAGTTTGTCAATCTAGGTGATGATTTCAAAGTGCATCATAGCTCCCAGTGGCTTCCTAATATCGGAAGGAAGAGCATTCCAGACGGCCGCGGAAGCGTATCTGAAAGCGCCGCGCGATGCCGGTGATCGTCTTGGTTCGACGGCCAGCCAGAAGCCGCTGATGCTGCTGCTGCTGCTATAGAAGATGACCCGAATTAAGGTGACGATGGTTTATAGCTCCTTGACGATAGAGGAACAGCAACCGTGGCAGTAGCGATAGAAGAGTCATAGGGAAGCGACTGACTTTCGGCAGGCGACTGGAGAGTGGGCCCTCTTTGTTCGACGGTCAGCCAAAAGCCGCTGCTGCTAGCGAGGATGATGGTGACCACCGGAGTTGGCGTTGCGAGGGTTTAACGCTCACCCGACGGGATCAGCGAAGCGGTCGGATGGAAGAGTTTGAGGCGGCGTGAACGCTCCGTTTTTTTTTGTTTGCAGCACAAACGATCTTGAACCTTTTTTGTTTGTTTTAATCTCCGTTCAGCAGAGCGGAGGAATCCGATGGGCCACGAAGCTCTTTCATCATCGATGTCCAGCGATCATTGGCGGCCCTCCCCACCCCCTGGGGGAGTCAGGTCACGGTTGACGTGGGACCACGCGTGAGCGATGTTGATCTTTCACCAAAGACGACGAAGATAAAGATTTCCCCTCTATCCCGTGTCGCCTCTAATGGACTGTTGGGGGCAAGTGGCTCTTAGTAGCGAGTAGCAGCGCCTACACACAAAGGCAAAGATCCCCCGTGTAGCCTGTAACAGACTGTTGGGGCAAGTGCTATGAAGGCCGGAATGGCACAATAGGGGGTGGGTGGCCAGCATCACGCCTGACCGCCTTTGTCTACCCACTGGCGATGTTTACTACACACCGCACCAATTACTCATTTGGAGGCAGCGTAGCGCTAACCGTTACACCACCACTCCCCACCACCCCCATCACCACCACACCTGGGCATCTTCGTCTCCTCCCGGTGGAGATGTCAGCCAACGCATGGCTCACAGAGGCGGGTAACGATACCGGGTCCCACTCGAGGCGTTGTCGTGGTCTGGGCCGTCGCACGACATCGCAGACGAGTCAGTTGGGTTGATTTATTTGTATTTCCCATGCGGTGCATGTAGAACCTATAATGACCGTGTTGGGTACGTGGTAGGGTTTTCGCCACCAAATATCCATAACAGATGTTTTGGGTTCCATCGTGTAAATATAAATGCGTCGTTGAACCCCGCCACCACCACCCGATACGGCCAATCGGTGGGGTACATTTACGCGATCTTACCCAAAGACCTCTATGACGAATGATCGGGTTATAGGTTGTATAATGGTAAACGAAAATTGTAAAAAATCCAATTACGTATGTTCACAATAATTCCGTGTACACATAATGTCACTCGCGCGTACTGCGAGCGTAATAATACAGCAGTCGATTCCCAATATCCTCATTATGTATGGGCGAGTGTTGTTTAGTTTTTCAACGGATAAGAAAAAGTATATAATTTACGGTGATTGGCGACCAGCTACTTTGTGGGAAGAAGGCCTTCCTAGGGGTATTGTCAGTCATCGGGGTTTGGGCCATACTTCAAACAGCAGCTCAAGGCTCACCTGTCCAGACCCTAACCTGTCCAGTCTCTCACTTGGTTCAGGATCACCTGGTTCAGGATCTCACCTGGTTCAGTCTCTCACCTGTCCAGTATCCCACCTGTCCAGGCTCTCAACTGTCCAGTCTCTCACTTGGTTCAGGATCACCTGGTTCAGGATCTGACCTGGTTCAGGATCACCTGGTTCAGGATCTCACCTGGTTCAGTCTCTCACCTGTCCAGTATCCCACCTGTCCAGGCTGTCACCTGTCCAGGTCTTCTTGGAGCTCTGGCTCCACGCCTCCGAGTTCTCAATCAAAGGTCGGTGCGTCCGATTTGCGAAATATGCACGCGTTTCCGAATCATGTTCATGATTATGAAAAATAAGAATAGGGTTTTGCCATTTCTGGCAATGAAACAGGCGTTAAGATGTTCAAACACCAAATAGATTAAACCTTTTGCAAGGAATCATCAAGTCTGCATTAACCACACGTACTTGTGGTGGACATGCAAACAAGCATGCTCTGATAATATACAGTAAAAACTTGGATTGCGAGCATAATTCGTTCCGGAAACGTGTTTGTAATCCAAAGCACTCGTATATCAGTTGTGATCACGTGACGCTCGGCAGACAAAGCGTATACACATACTACTCGTATTGCAAGACCTCGCTCGTTTATCAAATTAAAATGTATTAAAAAATGTTGCTCGTCTTGCAAAAAACTCGCAGACCAAATTACTCGCAATCCAAGGTTTTACTGTACTTGTATTGTCTTTGAAACCGATTGGCCAACACCAGATAGGCATCTATGTGGTGCTTGAACATATTAACACAACTTTTGTTTCATTGCCAGAAAGGGTAAAAACCCTGTTCTTATTTTTCATACTCTGCTACAGGCAAAAAAGTTATCCCCATGATACGTTTTTATGATTTATTATGACTATTGTGATTAAACTTCACCTTGTTATCGAGTATTGCTGTCTGGGAAAGCGTCGTTACGATCGATTCGTTTTGCCTTGCATGGTATGGTATGGAAAGCGTGTGCAGCATTTGATCCCAGGGGAAACCTCGGTGAATCTCTTTTGTAAGAATAACAAAAATAAATTAAAGTTCAGCCGATCCAAGCCTGGCTGTCTACTCCAGTGGGTTCTCAACTGGGGCTACGCTGACCCCCCATTGGTGAGGGAGGGGAGTGGGTACACGTGGCAATGCCCCAAGTGGGGTAGATTTATAAATGTGTGTGCGTGTGACGTTACATCATCGGTGAATGATCGCGTTGTATGAATCCGCCGATGTAAAGTAACCACGATGCCACTGAGATCCGATCGGTAATGTAGACAACGTTTAAAAGACCTTTCTAAAACTCGCCGATCGTAAACAATGCAGGTCTACAAGAGTAGCTGACGAGCGCACGCAATTTACAACGCGCACGCAAAGCGTCCGTTGAGTTTTTTTTTGTATTCGCTTGCAGTTTACTTAGCAGCTAAGCTAGGGTGCATATACCTCACAAAATAAACAGTTGGTTAAAATATTAACCCATAATAGAGATTTATTTGGGTTAGATCGCGTGAATATAAATGTGTTGTTAAACCCGCCACCACCATCCGTCACGTAAACAAAACGGGGCCAATTCGTTACTAGTGTAGTGACATAGCATCGGTCACATATCAGCATAGCGCTGGCTGCTGGCAGGGAAGGGGATCTGCAGCTTACAGCAGCCCTGAATGAAAACAGGTCACGTGATAGACCAGAGAGGGATGTTAGGGGAAAGGTTACGGAAGGGGCGCATCGAGAGCCCGCTGGAAGGTTCTAGAAGGGGGGCGGAGCCAGGCCACGCTGACAGTATAAGAGGGGCCTACGGGAGGGGACCTCGGGGCTGTCGTTTAAAGTGGGAGGCCGTCATACTGCTGGAGCCTTCACCGTTGTCCCCATCTTCACCATCTCGGCGTCGCCAGTCAGGCAGTCTACCAGCTGTCCTGACTGGGCCCGTAGTCACCAAGTGTGAACTGTTAAGGCCGTTTAATAAACAGTGTCCCTGAGTCAGTCACTACACTAGTACAGCACACCGGTGTGTTGGAGAGTTAACGTTTTAAATGTTGTAGGGGTTTAAAGCTTTCGTGACTGCAGGGATTCATCTTCTTGGTTCTTTCGGTAAAGTCACGTAGAAGGGAAGTAATAAAATAATAAAACATAATAAAATAATTCTCACGACGTTTCGGCCACAACGCAAGCAGCCGTCTTCACCTGAGGACGGCTGCTTGCGTTGTGGCCGAAACGTCGTGAGAATTATTTTATTATGTTTTATTATTTTATTACTTCCCTTCTACGTGACTTTATCGAAAGAACCAAGAATATGTTGTAGGGGGTTTACTGTTCAACACACAACCGGCTAGTGCTGTACTAGTAACTAATTGGCCACGTTTTGTTTACGTGACTGAGCCCTTGCTAATGGGCTGTTTCGGGTGGTGGCGGCGGGTTTAACGACACAACATTTATATTTACGCGATCTAACCCCCTAAAAACCCTCTATTATGGATAATATCGGTCGCGAAAGGCCCTACTGTGCTACGTGTTAAACTGGTTAAAATATTGATGTTCATCTTCTTGGTTATTTCGGTAAAGTCGCGTAGAAGGGAAGTAATAAAATAATAAAAATAAAACATAATTAAACAATTCTCACGACGTTTCGGCCACAACGCAAGCAGCCGTCCTCAGGTGAAAACCAGGTCTGTCGAGGCGACAGCGTCTGAATGAAACAGCACACGTGCTTGGAGCATATATATAAGGAGGTCCCATGAGGTATTATTATTATCGATGGTGAGAGTGAGTCCGTGAGGTTTTTTTGGCTTGCTGTTGATCGGACGCAAAAGTCGGCGCAGCCTGGAAACGAATCGAGAGTTCTGTAGTGCGTGATCCTCTGCCTACAATCGACTGGACTCGCCGCCGGCGTTTTGCCGTTCATTAGCTTCTGCGTCGAAAACATGCGTGGGCGCCGAGTTTTGATTTGCCATTCTGATTCCCTGCACTTACTCAACGGTAGCCCGAATGGTGCCAAATGCCACTGTGGCTAGGAGATGTTAACTACCTCGCCTGGTATACAGGAGGTTGTGGGTTCGATCCCGACCCCTGACGCCTGCTGTATATTTTGAGTTTGTGATGTGTGTGTGTGTCTCTCTCTCCCCGTGGTCGCGTGGACTTTTCTCCGGGTCCTCCGGTTTTTTCCCCTCCACATTTGGAGTATTTGGCTGCTATACATTTCCACGCGACGATGAGCCACTTCGTTGAGCCATCACTTGTGAGAGCCAGATCGCTTCCGAAAAATAGCTACGTATCTAAGTGGGCCTTACCTGTTTAGTTTTAGTTTAGGCTTAGTATAGGCTGCTGCCTGTAATCCAGCACTAGTAGAGGCAGCTGCGAGGGTGGGTGGATCACCCACACAGATGGGTTGTGAAACTCCCTTCCCTTGGGTCGGTGTCGAGGAGGTCGTGGGTTCGATCCCGACTCTGACGCCTGCTGCTGTATATATTTGGAGTCTGCGTGTCTCTCTCTCATCATCACCACGGTGGCTAGGAGATGTTAACTACCTCGCCTGGTACGCAGGAGGTTGTAGGTTCGATCCCGACCCTGACGATGCCTGCTGCTGTATATTTGGAGTCTGCGTCTCTCTCTTATCATCATCACGGTGGCTAGGAGATGTTAACTACCTCACCTGGTACGCAGGAGGTCGTGGGTTCCATCCCGACCCTGACGATACCTGCTGTTGTAAATTTGGAGTCTGCGTCTCTCTCTCTCCCCGTGGTCGCGTGGATTTTTCTCCGGAGCCTCCTGGATTCCCCCTCCACATTTAGTATCAACATCACCACGCGTTTACAGTATTTGGCTGCTGCTATACATTTCTACACGGTAAGCCACTTCGTTGGGCTATCATCTGTGATAGCGAGATCCGCTTCTGAAAAAATTAACCCGTAAAAACAAAGTTTTTCACTCTAAATCCTTTATATGCGTGACGGCTAGAGTCCTCTCGTCCTCTGGCTTGAGATGGCTGCCACCTATGGGTCAGATGATTGTCTGCCACCATTAAGCAATTGGTAATGAAATATTTAATTTGTTTTCCCTAAACAGTGTAAAATTTAGGAAAAAAATTTTCACGAACATTAATTGTCTCGCACAACGAGTCTGTGTGCAAAATGTCAGCTCGATTGGATCACGGGAAGTGGGTTTAAAAACGACTGAAAGATTTGCACGGTCGTAAGCGCGCAAGCAAGCAAGCAAGTGAACTTAATATGAAGGATTAAAAAAAAAGAGCTTCCACAGCAGCTCAGTTGGGTCTTACCTGATATAAATAGAAACAGTGTTTAGTTTTAGAGTGGCCTCTCTATCTCTGAGACCTTTCGATGTGCTCTGAAGTAGGGACATTGCCCGAAACGTCGCCTGTTATATATATTTTTTTAATTGCACGAATATTTTAATTGCTGGGTAACACGGCTGGCAAGAGGGAATGTGCCCTCGTAGGCCACCAGAACAACAGGTTATTTCAAGTGCAACGTTTCCATGGACTATCTCGACACTCGAGACACGCGCTGTGGCTATTATAGACCCTTACACGCTGCCGCCTACGTGCGAATAATATGCAAGTGCATAAAGACAAAGATCCCCTGTACAGCCTTAACAGACTTTTGGGACAAGTGGCTGTTAGCGAGCAGCACCGACGAAGACCGCCACTGTGGCACGCGATGAGAGTGGGTGGCCAGCACCACGCCCGACCACACAGACACAAGACAAAGATCCCCCGTATAGCCTTAACAGACTGTAGGGGCAAGTGCTGTTAGCGAGCACCTTTCAAGGCCGGAACGGTACACGAGGGGGTGGGTGGCCAGCGCCACGCCCGACCGCCTTTGTCTCCCCAGTGGCGATGTTTACTACACATCGCACCAGGCACTCATTTGAGGCTGAATCGACCTAGGGGAGGCACAGGACCGGTTCAGATAATCTTCACTGGTTGTGTTGGCCGTGAGCGGGAATCGAACCCGGGTCGCCGGGTTCATAGCGCAGCGTAGCGCTAACCACTACACCACCGCTCCCCACAGACACAAAGATGCAGACACACACACAATGACACGTGTGCAACAGATACACGATGATGAGTGAGTGGATGAAGTGATGAACATCCTAAACGTGTTCTAGAAGGGCTGGAGCGCTGAGCGAGTGATGTCAATTCTCGCGATGTTCCCGAAAGGCCATAACGCGAACTCGCGCCAGCGGATGTGGTTTTTGGCGAACCATCGGGTTTGGTTTGCGCAGCGTGCTAACCGCTGCACCACCGCTCCCACAAGTACATCTTTCCGTGTATACCTGGGTGGACAGGTGTGTAGGGAGTCGGCTTCCTTGATTGCACTCACGACGACAGAAAACTCGCGGTGAGACCAACAGCGGGCGATTATAATTAATTGCCATGCAAGGTGTTGTGTATGGTGTGCACTGGGGGGGGGGGGGGTACATTTATATTGAAAGTGTTCATACGCAAATATATCTGTCTAATTATATATGTGTGTGTGTGTAGTCCCTCCAGAGGTGGTGTGTTGATATCTTCCTCGCCTGGTGTGCAGGAGGTCGTGGGTTCGATCCCGAACCTGACTATGCCTGCTGCTGTAGATTTGGAGTCTGCGTGTCTCTCTCTCTCTCCCCGTGGTCGCGTGGATTTGTTTCGGGGTCCTCCGGGTTTTCCCTCCCACATTTGGAATCAACTTCATGCGTCGAGAGAGAGAGACTCAACACTGCACCAAAGACTCAACACTGCACCATAGACTCAATACTGCACCATAGAGTCAACACTGCACCAGAGACTCAAACTTCACCATAGATTCAACAATGCACCATCAACTCAACGCTGCACCATAGACTCAACACTGCATCAGACTCAACACTGCACCAGAGACTCAACACTGCACCATAGATTCAACACTGCACCATCGACTCAACACTGCCCATAGACTCAACACTGCACAATAGGATCAACACTGCACCATAGACTTAACACTGCACCATAGGCTCAACACTG